AGGCACTTTTCTCTGAAGGGATGAGAGAACTTCCACTTTGCTTATGGCTTTGTCTAAATACAGATGGAGTTTGTAGTTTCAAAAGGCTTCCATAGCCTAGGCAGCTCATGTCAAGAGCCTCAGGTGATCACTGACGTCATACCTCAGAGTGTTAATTGTTAAATTAACAACAGAAGTCACTGTGCACTAACTCCCCATGCAGGACCTCTGTCCTCAATGAGTTGTATTATGAGAATAAACTAAAACTAGTTCTCAAACAGTTTTTTTTGTGTGTGTGTGTGTTTGTGCAAATTGTTGAAATCTTTACTTAGTATAGAGTCGGTCTCCTGTGTACAAAGTTAATTGAAAATAAATCTTAGGGGCCACTGCTGTGGCGCCCTGGCCTGATGCGCCGGCATCCTATATGGGTGCTGGTTCCAGTTCCAGCTGCTCCTTTTCCAATCCAGCTCTCTGCTATGGCCTGGGGTAGCAGTAGAGGATGGCCCAGGTCCTTGGGCCCCTGCACTCGCGTGGGAGACCCAGAGGAAGTTCCTGGCTCCTGGATTCGGATTGGTGTAACTCCGGACATTGCGGCCATCTGGAGAGTGAACCAGTGGATGGAAGACCCCTCTCTCTGTGTCTACCTCTCTCTGTAACTCTGTCTTTCAAATAAATAAAATAAATCTTTTTTTTTTTTTAAAGAAAATCTTAATGGAGAATGAGACTGAGAAGGGGAGAGGGAGGAGGAGAAGGGGTGGGAGTGTGAGTGTGGGAGGATAGGTCTGGTGGGAAGAATAACTATATTCCTAAAGTTGTACTTAGGAAATAAGAATTTAATTAATAAATTAACAAAACAGAAAAAAGAATTCAAGGCCTCAGGCCTGTACTGTGGCATAGCGGATAACCTGTGGCACTGTCTTCCCATATAGGCACCAGTGCAAGTCCAGGCTGCTCCACTTCCAATCCAGCTGCCTGCTAATGCACCTGAGAAAGCAGTGGAAGATGGCCCAAGTGCTTGGGCTGCACCCACCTGGAGACCTTGAAGAAGCTCCTGGTTCCTGGCTTCAGATCAGCTCAGCTCTGGCCATTGTGATCATAGATCTCTCTCTCTCTTCTCTCTCTCTCTGTCTCTCCCTCTTTCTTTTCTTTTCTTTTCTTTTCTTTTCTTTTCTTTTCTTTTCTTTCCTTTTCTTTTTCTTTTTTTTTTTATGACAGGCAGAGTGGACAGTGAGAGAGAGAGACAGAGAGAAAGGTCTTCCTTTTCCATTGGTTCAGCCCCCCAATGGTTGCTGTGGCCAGCGTGCTGCAGCCAGCGCACCATGCTGATCTGAAGCCAGGAGCCAGATGCTTCTCCTGGTCTCCCATGTGGGTGCAGGGCCCAAGCACTTAAGCCATCCTCCACTGCACTCCCGGGCCACTGCAGAGAGCTGGACTGGAAGAGGAGCAACCAGGACAGAATCTGGCGCCCCGACTGGGACTAGAACCCGGAGTGCTGGCGCCACAGGCAGAGGACTAGCCTAGTGAGTTGTGGCGCCGGCCATACTCTGTCTTTCAAATAAATAAATAAATCTTTAAAAAAAGAGTTCAAGGCCTCTCTTGACTTTTCTGGTCAACCCTGCAGATCTGGAAGGAGGCAGTAAGTGGGCAGTGGATGAGAGCAGGCCCCTGACCCAAACCGTTCGGGTTCCTTTGTCAGGAGAATGGTATGCTCAATACTCACTTTATAGAATAGTGGTAATAATCAGATGAGATAATGTCTATTAAGCACTTAGCACAGAGCTTGTCTTAGTGTGAGGCTCAGTGAATGTGAGTTGTGGTTATTATTGAAGGCTGGTGAAGCATAAAGGTCATGGGCTTTGGCATTATGAAGACCTGGGGCCCCTTGGTCAGGATCTGTGACTGTTGAAGAGAATGTGCAGGAAGTCTCTAACACAAGACACATGGGCAGGTTCACTTGAGAACCTTAGCACCAATCAGCCCTGGTCTGTGAAGTCAGTGGGCATTGCTGCAGGACGTACATTCAAGGTTGCAGTTTCCATACCAGACCAACCCCTTATGTGTCGCTCCCCCTCTTCGTGGAGGAACGACACAGGACCCTGCGCTGTTCTTTCGTCTGCTCGGCCCTCCCCGGGTTTGCTGCTGGTTCTTCCCGGGTTGGCTACTATCCCTTCCACCTCCGTGGAAGGGCAGTTCCCCCTGGCCGCATTCCCCACTTCCGCAGGGGAGCGGCACACCGCCGGCCGGCTCTCTGGGGGCTGCACGGGTTCCCTTAGATGTTCCCCATAGATGTTCCCGGTGCATGCCGTCTCTCTCCTCCTTTATAGTCCTCCTCCGCCAATCCCAACTCGGCTGAGTACGCTGCTCTCCAATCAGGAGCAAGTCCTACAGTTAATTGGTTGAACTGGAGGCAGCTGTGCGGAAGCTGTTTACTTCTCTCCCAGCGCCATATTGTGGGAGAGCAGATGCATAGAATAAGTCCTAATTCGAGTAACTTAGTCTAGTCCGGATTGCTCCCCACACTTATGTACACAGAGAAGTAACTTGCTAGGCTGACCCCCTAATCAAACAGCCTGAACAATTCATTGCTAGTCTCTCAGGCGTCACAGATGCCATTGTGGGTCAGTCTCTCTCTCTCTCTCGCTCGCTCACACACACACACACACACACACACACTTCCCTCGGCTCATCTCTGCAGTACAGTTGGTCTAACATGGACCCGCCCTGTGCTCCTCCAGGTGGCATGTTCTCCCAGTGCCCATTCTTCTTGCCCTCAAGTGCAGGTTTTGCACATCTGCATCAGAGCCAATGGGGAGACGGTAAAAGCACTTATTCCTGTGGCCCCACTCTGAACCCGCTGAGTTGGGATGGGAGATGAAGGGGTTTGAGAGATGGGACCGAGGCATCCACAGGCTCCTCAGGTTCCCCAGGTGGTCCACTGTAAGCCAGAGTTTGAGAACTACACACCCAGTCTCCTCTTCTGTTCTGTTGGCACAGAGAGGAAGTTCCCCAGCCAGTCATGTCCTTTGTCTCCAATCACAAAAGGTTTCTTTTCCCCTGGGCACAGCCATGAAATACACTCTGCTTCCTTTTTGGACTGGGCTCTGCAGAACAGAAGAGGGGCTGCTGGGGTTTTGAATCCATTCTCCTGGGAGCTCTGAAGAGCAGGCTCAGGCACTGCTGCAGGGAGGCAGGTGGAAGACCAGGGAGCTTCACCTGACACCTTCTGCTTTAATCCCTTTCCATACGGAGCTTCTGAAGCACAGCTTGTTTTAAGAGGATGCCATTGCTAAAAGGAAAAGAAAGTTTAGAATCTACCAATTATTTAAAAAAAAGATTTATTGATCTATTTGAGAGGTGGAGTTATAGACAGATGAGTGAGAGACAGAGTGAGAGGTCTTTCATCCACTGGTTCACTCCCCAAATGGCCACAACAACTAGAGCTGGGCCAGACCAAAGCCAGGAGCCAGGAGCTTCTTCCCACATGGGTGCAAGAGATCAAGGGCTTGGGCGATCTTTCACTGCTTTCCTAGGCTGTAAGCAGAGAGCTGGGTTGGAAGAGGAGCAGCCAGGACACGAACTGGCGCCCATATGGGATGCAGGCACTGCAGGCAGAGGCTTAGCCTACTACTCCATAGCACCAGCCTGGGAACCTACTGATTTTATTCAATCCCTTATTTTATAAGTTAAAAACAAAAGCAAAGAAAAAACCAGGTGATAGAAGGACTTCTTCAGAGCCTCAGAGTTTCATAGCAAATCTGAAGTCAAAACTCAAGGCTCCTAATGCCATGGTTAGATCCAGGTTTGTTCCCCTAAGGTCCTTGGGTCAGAGGCTGGGTTCTTAATGTGGCAGTGCTGAGAAGCGGTGGCAACTATAAGAGGTGGGGCCCTGTGGGCGGTCACTGGGGGCCCTGCCCAAGGAAGAGGTTAAGGTGGTCTTCCTGCAGCCCCCAGGAAGTTCTCAAAAGAGGTTTGTTGTGAGCACCTGAGCCTGGCCTCACACAGCTCTCCCTGGCTTCCTGTTTGGGATGTGATCCTTAGCTCCACACCTGCACCTGCACTGCCCTCTCTTCTGCTACAGTGTGACACAGTCAGGGCAGCCTTCCCCAGAGCTGAGCTGATGCCAGCACCATGCCCTCAAATCTCCACAAGTGTGGACTAAGTTAACTTGACAAAGTCAGCTTTCCAGGTGTCTTGTTTTTGTTCGTTTTTTTTCCATTCTCACCTTTTTTTTCCTTAATTTTATTTAAGATATACAAATTTAATGCATTTCATATATACAGATTTAGGAACATAGTCATTCTTCCCACCATACCCTCCCTCCTACCCACCCATGCTCCCACTCTCCTTACTCCTCTCTCTTCTATTCCCACTCTTAATTTTTACAAAAATCTACTTGTCACTCCCCCTCTTCGCGGAGGAACGACACTAGACCCTGCGCTGTTCTTTCGTCTGCTCGGCCCTTCCCGGGTTTGCTGCTGGTCCTTCCCGGGTTGGCTGTCGATCCTTCCACCTCCGTGGAAGGGCGGCTCCCCCTGCCACTTTCCCCACTTCCGCGGGGGAGCGGCACACTGCCGGCCGGCTCTCTCGGGGGCTGCTCAGGTGTTCCTTCAGATAGATGTTCCCTTTAGATGTTCCTGGTGCATGTTGTCTCTCTCCTCCTTTATAGTCCTCTTCCACCAATCCCAACTCTGCTACCCACACGCCGAGTACGCTGCTCTCCTCCAATCAGGAGCAGGATCAGCTCCTGCAGGTTATTGGTCGAACTGGAGGCAGCTGTGTAGAAGTTGTTTACTCCTCTCCCAGCGCCATATTGTGGGAGAGCAGATGCATAGAATAAGTCTTAATTCCAGTAACTTAGTCTAGTCCGAGTTGCTCCCCACATCTACTTCCAGTTTTTAAATGTTTTTTTAAAACATTTATTCATTTATTTGAGAGATAGGGTTACAGACAGATAGAGGGAGAAACAGAGAGAGAGAGAGAGAGAGAGAGAGAGAGAGAGAAATCTTTCATCCACTGGGTCATTCTGCAAATAGCTGCAACGGCCAGAGCTGAGCTTCTGCTGGGTCTCCTGCACAGGTACAAGGCCCAAGCACTTGGGCCATTTTCCACTGCTTTCCCAGGCCATAACAGAGAGCTGGATTGGAAGAGGAGCAGCCAGGATAGAAATCGGTGTCCACATGGGATGCTGGCGCCACAGGCGGAGGCTTAGCCCACCATGCCATAGCGCTGGCCCCTTCAGTTTACTAATACTCATAAAATTAACCATACACTAAGAGGCCATCTTGTTAAAGTGATGAAAAACTAACAGTACCAGTACACCTCGTAGCTTGATGGCAGGATTTTACTGATGAAACAAATCTGGGATATAATAGAATGGTATCTGGCAACGTCCTGGCACATAGAAAATGCTCAGGAGGTGTTGTGTGTGGTGTCATTACTAATATGTATTCGTATTTATTTCTTGTTATTAATTTGCATTTGAGACCAGAGACTCACAAAGCAATCATGAAGGAAATCGAGGGGCGTGGCCTGAGCAAAGCCAGCTGGCCACCCAGACAGGTCTGCACGTGATGAATGTTTTCTCAATGAATTTAGCGTTGTTCAGGGTTTGATTCTGCAGTATGGGCTCAAATACTATCTCCTCGATGTCTCAGCACTGATCAGAATCTAGGGTGCTGCCTCAGCATTATCAGAGCTGTCACCGCCAACTGACAGATAAAGTTAGCCATTAATCACATAAATAGTTACTAAGCTTCAGTTCAATGCCAGGCACTGTTCTAGGTGTGGAACACAGCGGTGAACATGAAAATATGGAGCTTACATTATCACTGGGATAGCTATGAGCAATATGCAACAAACATATATATAATATCAAGTAATAAAGTCCTGGGAAGAAAACCAAGCAGGACAAAGGAATGAAGAAGGGTGGATGCAAAGAGTCTCCTCTGGGTAGGGTGCTCAGATCCAATGGACCATTGCAACAGCATTGCCATGATATTTCCGCCCTGTACATAGTCCAAGTGGGGAGTTTTCAATGGCAGGCTGCCTGGGGAGCATGGTGTAGAGGCCAGGCGGTTGATTTAAGATCCAACAATGTGTTGGCACTCGATTATGTTTATCTGCAGTGTGGCTCTTCTGCCAGGCCCCCGAACACTGCATCCTGCCTGACAGAGTTCCCAGACAGAACTTGCATGGGCACAGTCCTGTCATCACTTCTGTGACTCTCCTTTTGCAATGTGCCCACATCACTCCCATCCCATCTCACTTTTCTAATGGAGTGCGGACTTTTATCCTTTGTTGCTCTATGTGTGTGTGTATGTTTCCTTTTTTTTAAAGATTTATTTAGGGGCCAGCACTGTGGTGTAGTGGGTAAGGCAATGCCAGCATCCCATGTGGGTGCCGGTTGGAGTCCCAGCTGCTCCACATCTGATCCAGCTTTCCGCTATGGCCTGGGGGAGCAATGAAAGATGGCCCAAGTCATTGGGCCCCTGCACCCATGTGGGAGACCTGGAAGAAGCTCTTGGCTCCTGGCTTTGGATCAGCCCAGCTCCAGCTGTTGCGGCCATTTGGGGAGTGAACCAGCAGATGGAAGACCTCTCTCTTTTTCTGCTTCTGCCTTTCTGTCACTCTGCCTTTCAACTCAATCAATCAATCAATCAATCTACAGGAAGCCCAAAATTCCTGGGAAAGCAATGGAAGATGGTCCAAATGCTTGGGGCTTTGCATTCATGTGGGGGACTGGAAGAAGCTCTTGGCTCCTGGGCTTCAACTTGGCCCAGTTCTGGCCATTGTGGCCATTTAGGGAGTGACCCAGCGGATGGAAGACCTGTGTGTATGTGTGTGTGTGTGTTTGTGTCTCCCTCTCTCTCTGTAACTCTGCCTTTCAAATAAATAAAATAAATCTTTTTCAAAAATTACCTTCCATTTCAATAATTTGCTAGAAATACAAAGCACACTGAAAGCTGTTATATACACAGTTTATGATTGGGAAGCACTGCGGTTATGTTGGTCCAGGGAAGAAGCACCTAGGAGTCCAGAGAAGCAGCAAGCTTGTCCTCTCCCACGGAGTTGGGCAGTGTTGCTCTGCTGCCATCCTTGTGTGGCAATACACAGAGGGCTGCCAACCAGGAAGATGGGATTTGGAAAGGATGAAGGTTTGAGGTGGTGGAGGATATGCCAGTTATCCTGGTTTGGTCATTGTATGATATATACATGTACCAAAGTGCCACACTGTACCCCATAAACATGTGCAATTATTGATTATGTGTCTATAAAAAAGAGTTCACCCAAGCCTTGAAGCTGTTATTGAGGCTGGATCACACACTGCCTGCATGGCTGAACTTTAGTAACCAGCTCTTCCAAAGGCTAGCCTGATACCTCTGTGTCCTGTCCCTCTGGAGGTAGAACTGATCATCATAAAGGATGACACATCTCCATCATAAATAATACTGTCGGGCTGTCTGGTGGCCAAGGCCACTGGGCAAACAACAACACTCTTATCTGTCAAGTTCAAGCCCCCCACCTCAGCCCTCTCCAGTCACCTCCCAATAGCTGTGGGCAAAGGCTAGACCTCTCCTTGGCAATGGTTAATTCTTCACCACACAGAATGTAAAGTCCATCTTTAAACAAGGTGAAAAGGAAGGAACAAATGACCCAGCCAAATAAAATCAGTGCAGGTATGACCAGACTCCTGACCACTGCCTTTCATTGGCTTATGCTGCTAGGGAGCAAGGCTCCTGGAGGAGAAATCGAGACTGTGAGGCTCTACATTCCCATGGATGTGCAGCCCCTTTGTGAGCTGGTTGTACTGGAGTTGGTTGTATTGCTCGTGGTACCCAGGGTTGGAGGAGGGGAGCTGGATGAGAGCAGCAAAGGGAGGAGTGATCTCGCGCTGCCCTCAGAGATTGTGGAGGGCTCTGAGATACAGATGCAGATGCAGATGGAGGCTGACTCAGGACCACTCTGTCCTCTCACTTTATTGGGAGAGAGCGTTCCAGGCATAGAGGCTTAGGACGGGCACCTGTGCGGTAGACGGTGGGAGTGCTGTGGTTTGGAAAGTCTGGTTGGGAAGGACGCTGAGTCAAGGCTCCAGAGGCTCGGAGCTACTCTCACGAGTTTTCAGGCAGCACCTGGGCAGAACAGATGTCATCCCTTCCCTGGCACTCTGAGGAGTCCTGGGACAGAGGACATCTGCAGTTCCTGAAATATCCCATTCGTGAGGCCATGGAGTCCCCTCTGGAGAAAGGCACACAGCCCTGTGTCAACGGTGCACCCAGCAACAAAGAGCAGGAACTGTAGCCAGCTCTGAGGAAAGGCTGAGGTCTCCCAAGCCCACCTGCACGAGGATTCCAATAACTTCTGCCTCTCTACCCATGTCCTGTGCAGGTCACTGTCTCCCTGCCTCTACTGACATCCCCCAGGCCCCTCAGCCTAGCCTCAGGAGAGAAACTGCTCATGTCTCAGGTGTCTTGATGGCTCAGAGTTAAGCAAGATCTCAGGAAACTGGTTGTCTGGGAGGATTCAGAACTTTTGTGGTTATAAAGGAAGCATATCTTATTGCTTGGGCTCTGTTGCCCTTTCTTATTCACCTGAGACTTGAGATTCCTCTTCCTCTACATGTCTACCTCTTTCATGCTCCCCACACTCAGCAGGCTGGTGAGGGTACCAAGAAGATGAGCTCTTATCCCAGTCCCCTTGGCTCCTGGCCCAACTGGGGACAAGGTGCACCCTTCAGGGAGATCTTTCCGGGCTCACTCCTCTCTCTGGAAACACTGTTTCAGCCTCGCAGGAGGAGTTCCCAGTGTCCTGCTCTGACTTCACTGGGACGAGGAGGGAGGCAGCTCCACCATGAGGAGCTGAATGGTTCCCCAGGAGCTTCTATCAAGGTAGAAGGAGTACAGGATTGGAGCGGAGCTTCTCTGGACCTCACAGAAGAGCTCCACCAGGTCCCCCACGGCAGGGCTAATGATCCTGTGTGGCAGAGTGAGCAGAGGATGGGACACAGGAGCTGGGAAGACACACGGGTGGGAGGGTCAGCCTGGCCACCCGGGACTCAGGCTCCTTCCTCCCCCAGAAACTTTGCCCCCCATTCCTAGGGGGTCCCATTGCCTGGTGCCCAGACCCCCAGGGAGTGTCTCCCCTCACTCGCCCACTCACCTTGCACCATGATCTCCAGCTGGGGGCTCCGTTTCTGGACCCTGCCACCCTCAGGGGCTGCCTCACACCAGTAAAGCCCAGAGTCTCCTTCCTCCATGGCCAGGATGTGGAGTTCTGGGTGCTGGCCCCTGCCCTGCACGGTGCAGCCATCCTTGTAGAAGGAGAAGAGGAGCCTCAAGGCCGGCCTCTTGGGGTGCAGCCTCGTCTGGCATCTCAGAGTCAATGGGCTTCCCTCACAGAGCTTGGGAAAGGGGATGGCATTCAGCACAGGAGGTGAGAACAGCTCTGGGGAGATACGGGCCCAGGATTTAGGAAGGATGTCCTGGACAATGAAGCTCCAGGGGTCTGAGGACCAAGCTTCAACACATCCCAGGCTGCAGCCCCTGACCCAGACAGGACCTTGTCCTCACCCATGAGCTTTGAAATGCCTCCCTTAGCAAGCCCCTCAGAACCAGAGGGGCTTTAGTTGTTATCTGGTCTGCAGAACAGAAGGGCAATTGGCTGAGCTGGTCAAGGCCTCTTCCCAACCCCTTCCCCTCCAGCCATCTCCCCTCTCCTTCTCCATGAGCCCCCTGGTTGGGGGGAGCTGACATTTGGACAACATCTTGGGAAACCTCAGGACCCTGTGTGTTGACCCAACATTGGTGCAGACAGAGATTATGGTCCTGTCCAGAGAGCTACTGGCCTCCACAGTGTACATTCCTTAGCAGCACCCTACTGCCCTGCCAACCTTCTTAGTGACTGACTCACCTTGGACCTGAACTGTGGTAGTCCCTGAGGTTTCTCGGCCTATGTGTGGCAAATATGTCACACTCCCAGAACAGCTGTACTGGCCACTGCTTTTCAGTGTTGCTGTCTGTATGGACAGAATGTTCTTGCCATTTGATGAATGGAGGCGTGCTCCATCTTTGTAGAAATTCACCTGGGACAGTTCCATATTTTTCCACCCCTGGCATCGCAGAGTCAGGGACTCTCCTTCCAACACAGGGTTTGGCAAGGCTTGGATGTTCAGCCAGCCTGTGAGACAGAGGAACAGGGTCAGACCTGGAGCTGCAGGCCCCATCAGTCCACTTTCCTCCCTCTGTTCCCCAGATAAGGAACACGAAGTCTCCTGGATTGTCAATACCTCTTCATGCCAGACCAGAACAGGGCAGGGCCATGACTTCCTTTTCTTCTTCTTCCCTTCCTCTTTATTATCTTCCCTCCTCCCTTCTCTTACCTCCAATCCCTGTACCTCGTCTCTGTCTTTACCCCCTCTTATTCTCCTTTTCTCCTTGTATGTAGCACTTTGCTCCTCCACCTTGCCAAATTGGTTTGAATTGGGTTCGCTCCATCTGTGGTCATTCCTCATTCCTCCAGACTCAATTCTCCTCCCCTAGATTCATTTCTTACCCTCCTGCCACTCCACTGTGACACTTTCTGCAGCCTTCACTTCTGGTCACTCTGCAGACAGAATATGGTCCTGTCCAGAGAGCTACTGGCCTCCACAGTGTGCATCCCTTAGCAGCACCCTACTGCCCTGCCAACCTTCCTAGTGACTGACTCACCTTGGACCTGAACCGTGGTAGTCCCTGAGGTTTCTCTGCCTATGTGTGGCATAAACGTCACCAGTGACCACTGCTTTCCATTGTTGCTGTCCCTGTGAACAGAATCTTCTTGCCATCCGAGAAGCGGAGGAATGCTCCATCCTTGTAGACATACACCTGGGACTGTGCTACACTTTTCCATCCCTGGCACCTCAGCTTGAAACACAGTTTGGGCCAGGTTTGGAGGCACAGCCAGGGTGAAGTCTGAAGCTGCAGGCCCCATCAGTCCACTTTCCTCCATCTGTCCCCAGCCTAACAGACATGGAGGCTCCTGGATGGCCCATTGGCAATGGTCACTGCCTCAAGGCCTTCATGCCGGCCAGGACAGGGAAGGACCATTGCTTCTCTTTTACAACCACCCTTCCTCTTGCCTTCCTGTTCTCTACCCTTTTTCTTCTCCCTTTTCTCCCTCCCTGATCCTACTAAACACTGGGTTTTCCCCATCATTACCATGTTTGGTTTCAGCTGGAATCATCTCATCCAGGTAGCTGTCTTATTCCTCCTGCAAAGATCACCATGATATTCTTTCTTCACATCCTACCCCAGCCCAGGCTGACCCATAGCTCCCACCTCCAGTGACCACTCAGGTTCAGACCTCATGAGCATCCCAAGATGGGGGTGCCTGGTCTGGTTCTCTCCTATCTTTCCCCAGAGGCCCTCCCAGGCCTGACTCCATCAATGCCCCCCAGCCAATGCTCATCCCTGCAAGGGCTTCTGTTTCCACCCCATCCATGCAGAGCCACGTTCTCTCTGTTCTCATCCTGAACCTGAGGCACTTGTCCTGTGAGGCAGGACAAGGGTCTCTCCCCAGCCCTTGAATCTCCCACAACTCAGATCCTGCAGGTCCCAGGTACCCTCAAGGGCCAAAGAGCAGCCGTTGTGGCCATTTGGAGAGTGAACCATCAGATGGAAGACATCTCTCTCTCTCTCTCTCTCTCTCTCTCTCTCTCCCTTTCTCTGTCTATAACTCTACCTGTCAAGTAAATAAGTACAATAAAACAATAAAAAAAGAGCCAAAGCCCATTGCTGGGCGTCAAGCTAAGGATTTTGATGAAGAACTGTGAAAATAGGATTCCTGGAGGAATTCCCATGTCACCTCTGTGAAGCACTTGATGAGCATAGGTATAATCAGCCTTTCTGGACCACAGGGCACCTGGCTTCACTGCCAGAACTCAGTAAACTCACAGGGTCACTCACCACAGGTCCCAGGTTCTCAAACCCAGTCCCTCTGTCAGCACTCACTCCTGAGCACTTGGGTTTCCAAGAATTGGTCTGAACTCCCTCCCTCAGCAGTAACACAGATAATCCCCCAGGAATCTAGATATCCATTTGTGTGTCAGAGTTTTCTTCTCTTGGACAAAAGCACTGATTTGATGAGAGGCAGAGAATAAGGACTCATTCAGCATTCACGCATTGAAGTATCCGTTCATCAAGCCCTTATTGAGCACCTTCTGCATGCCAGGCCCTCAGGGGTACCCTAGCTTGCAATCTAGTAGACAAGAAAAGAGACTATTACAAATGTCACAGAGGGGACCCAGAGAAGACTTGATCAGGGCTACCTGGAGAGGAGATCCACACAGATGAGGACACCTTGACCTCTTGAAAGTAACTACTCACTATAGGGGACATGTGGGGAAAGGTCACTGACGTAGCAACCTGAGTCAGGGCAGGGCCAGGGGGCTCTGGCAGAAGGTGGTACAGAGGGGTAGGCTCTAAGGAGAGTGCTCCCGAGGAGGAAGTCAGAGAGGTGAAACTCAGGGGAATTCACACTCTGCCAGAGCGAGGTGATACTCAGGGCCAATTCACACTCCACCAGAGCGGTGGGAAAGGGTGGGGGATCTGAGATGGGAAGGAACACAATCCAATCTGCATTCAGGATCCTGTGGCTTTGGTGTGAAGAAGAATCAGAGGACATAAGGGGGGAGATGCAGTTGCCTGGCAGGAGAGGAGGCTGAGCACTAAGACAACAGCAGTGAGGTGGGAAGGAGGGAGGGAACAGGAATGGGGCTGAGGCAGAAGCTATCAGGCTACTTGAAATCTGAGGTGAATGGAGAGTGTAGGAGGGGGAGAAGTCGAGGTTGATGGGCAATTGAAGAGGAGAGGAAGCGGATTTGCAAGAAATATATGATTTAAAATGTTTCCATCTTAAGGTGAGGTGCTCTTGGCTGGGTAGGTGGAGAGAGACATCAACTTAAGAGTCTGCATGTGACTTAAGGGTCTGTTCTGGGCTGCAGAGAGAGATTAGGGAGTCATTAGCAATTGGCATTCATGGAACACTCTGGAATTCAAGGAGTCAAAAGCATAGTGTGCATTGTGTGTGTATGTGTGTGTGTGCATGTGTGTGTGTGAGTTGTTTTAACTATTTGCTTACTGTACACAAACAATATCTAGATAATATAATATATCTAGTTTATAATAGCAAAAGTATAAAACCATCTGAAATATTTAGAATAAGGTATTAATTAATTAGATTATGATCCAGCCATAAAATGAAATATGATGTAGCTATAAGAATGAAAGACATAGATTCATAAATACTATATGAAATGAGCCCCAAGACAAAGTGCTCATGAAAAAATTAAAAGCAACCCTGGTGGGCCAGCACTGTAGTGCAGTGGGTTAATGCCCTGACCTGAAGCTCTGGCATCCCATATGGGCACCAGTTCAAGACTCAGCTCTCTGCTATGGCCTGGAGAAACAGTAGAAGATGGCCCAAGTCCTTGGGCCCCTGCACTCATCTGGGAGACCCGGAAGAAGCTCCTGGATCCTGGCTTCAGATTGGTGCAGCTCTGGCAGTTGGTGGCCAATTGAGGAGTGAACCATCGGATGGAAGACCTCTCTCTTTCTCTTTCTCTCTCTCTCTCTCTCTCTCTCTCTGCCTCTCCTCTCTCTGTGTAACTCTGACTTTCAAATAAAATAAATAAGTCTTAAAGAAAACATAAAAAAAGCAACCCTGGGAACATGTGTATAGTGCTCCTCCATTTATGTATGAACTTAAGTACACGGGTGGGTGAAGCTGACACCTGCAGTGCCGGCAGCCCATGTGGGTGCCAGTTTGAGTCCCGGCTGCTCCGCTTCCGATCCAGCACTCTGCTATAGCTTGGGAGAGCAGTGGAGGATGGCCCATGTCCTTGGGTCCCTGCACCTACATGGGAAGACCTGGAGGAAGCTCCTGGCTCCTGACTTCGGATCAGCCCAGCTCTGGCTGTTACAGCCATTTGGGGAGTGAACCAGTAGACGCAAGACTTCTCTCTCTCTCTCTCTCTCGATATATATACATATATATATACACACACACATACATACATACATGTGCATATACATATAGGGGCCGGTGCTGTGGCACAGCGGGTTAAAGCCCTGGTCTGAAGCACTGGCATTCCATATGGGTGCTGGTTCTAGTCCTGGCTGCTCTTCTTCCAATCCAGCTCTCTGCTGGGGCCTGGGATAGCAATAGAGGATGGCCCGAGTCCTTAGGCCCCTGCACCCACGTGGGAGACCCGGAGGAAGCTCCTGGCTCCTGGCTTTGGATCGGCATAGCTCCGATCTGCAGCCATCTGGGGAGTGAGCCAGCAGATGGAAGACCTCTCTGACTCTACATCTCTCTGTAACTCTGTCTTTCAAATAAATAAATCATAAAAAAGTATACATATACCCTCATGCGCATGTGTGTTTGCATATGCATGTACACATTTTAGAATATAAGAGTATGGCCTGGGAGTGCAGTGGAGGATGGCCCAAGTCCTTGGGCCCTGCACCCACATGGGAGACCAAGAGAAGCACCTGGCTCCTGGCTTGGGATCAGCGCGATGCGCCGGCTGCAGCACACCAGCCGTGGCGGCCATTGGAGGGTGAACCAACGGCAAAAGGAAGACCTTTCTCTCTGTCTCTCTCTCTCTCTTACTGTCCACTCTGCCTGTCAAAAAAAAAAAAAAAAAGAATATAAGAGTAGACAGGGTAACTAATTTACAGGCTTCGGTGGGGGGGTGATTTTCACAATTTCTTTATTTAAATGTTCACATTTTTTAAAAAAACTTTTAAAGCTAGATCAAATAAAATACTCTGCTCTTCTTCGATTCCCCGCGTACCATTCAGTAAACCTCCCCTACTTGAGTTAGCTGAGTGTGGAACTGAAGATCCTAGGGAACAGAGCTTCTCAAAGCACAGTGAGAGTTGTTGGGAGGAGGTAAAGAGCAGAAGACAGAATGGAGAATCCAGGAGGTGTAGCTTAAGCAGTTAGAAGACCAACAGAGTGACTACAAGCTGGCATTTTTGTTGATAGTAGAATGTAAGATGGGCAACAGGATGTGGCTGAGCCAATATCATTAGAGTTACAGGCCAAGGTCCCAAGTGGTATTAGAAGACACATCAAGTTAGTAGATAAAGTTTGCTTCTGGGGACTGGTGTCTCTCTCTCCGTCTCTCTCTATCTCTGTCTCCCTCCCCCGACCCCCCCCCACACCTACCTACCTACTATAGGAAAGATGAGTCTGAGGTCCAGGCACAGAACCCTTGAACTATTGCTGGTAGGGCTAGTAGAACTTGGTGGAAAGGTCTGGTATAATTTGGAGAAAATGGCTGAGAAAGAAACACAAGATGCACTCAGGCCCAGATGTTTGTCACAGAGCACCAGTGAGGTAAGGGATGTTCAGGGCTACTCACAGGAGGGAAGAGACCTTGACACTCCCTGGCTTGGACCCAGAATACAGAGCTGTGCAGACAAGTGCCAAAGCCTGAGCTCAGCCAGAGCAGCCAGCCTTATCAAT